ATTTCACAAAAGCTTAACACAATAATATAAGACTAGTCCTTAAAGCAGATGGATGTGAGGGAATCTGTTGCAAAGGTTCATTATCTTATAGAAATATTCTCACTGCACTGGATAATTTTTTTTTTTTGGTTTAATTCCTTTGTTAAAAATGGGAGGAAATATAAAATTTCACTTTGGAAAATTTAATGTAAGGATGGATGGAAGGATGGATGGCTAGACAGGTGCATATATGCATACATATACAAACACATTGAGTGGCTTCATGATTCATTAAGAATTTGTATTAATATTTTCTTTTTGCTTTTAGTCTTGCTCTCTCACTTTGTTACTGCCAAAGGTTAGGGTCTGGGTAAATCACTGTGTAGGATCTGTTTTCTGGAATTTTGAGACAAGTAGAAGGCAGGAGTAGTATATTTTAGTGATAGTCAGGAAGTGTTTGAGTCTGTACTATGAGGACTCTGACATAGTGTGCATGCAGTAACCTTTGTTTCATGGAAGTCCTCAATGGTTGCAGACACTTGGCAATAAATTAGGTGTTGAGAAATGTTTGAACTTGTCGTGACTAGTCAGGGCTACTATGACATTGGAAAAACTAAGTGCATTATCATCTCAATAGTGTTTATAATAATAGTAATAGCAGGATCAGTGTTGTCAGACCACTGAGGACTATGCTAGGTAAATATTAATTGAGACTTATTTTAACCCAAACAAAAATCAAGAAGAAGGTGGTTCTTACCTATCCTTTAAAAAAATTAAAACTAGTTATTACTAACATTTCTTGGAACAAAATATACCCCAGGGCTTAACGTGCCCTTTGGTCATTCTGCTATCCTGCAGGTTCTCCAGGGTCCTTACAAACACTCCCCCACCACACACACTATCAACTGTTTCTTTGTCAGTTTCGCTCTCCATAAGGCTGGGGTTCATTTTTAAATATTAGGAAGGAAAGTGTTTATAATAGCGAGAAGTACCATTCTTCTCAGGGAGTGAAAATATGTAGAGAAATTATAAGTGGCCCCTCTAACCTTGCCCCCAATATCCTGGTATATTTTTGCTCTGCAGAGCAAATGACTTAATTCTCAACAGGCATCAGGCAGCTCACTAATGTCCGTGAGCCTTCAGAGCCATGTTTCCAACTCTCCAAAAGCGTGTATCCAAATTTTGCTGCAGTGTGTACCTTCTCTTTGCTCCAGCTGGCTGGCACACTGTTATTACAGTGTCAGATCACCATGAAGCTAAGCAGTGTAGGAGGCGGTACAGGGGATTATAATTTTCTTGCTCCAAGAAGGTGCCAGGAGTGGCCCAACATCAAGTAGTTCTAGAGCAAAGCACATATTAAGTGGCACGTTTGGGAACTTTTCTCACTCAGTGGAGAACAATGCTTGAACACACTGTACACTATTTTTTTCAGACATAAATGCCGAACTGGAAATCTTTAAAAATATAGAAGTGAAGTAATTAAGGGGGGGACTTTTTAATTTCTTCAAGTTGATCTTCAATTCTAATTTTTTGAAAGTCCATAAAATCTTGAAATCTGCATTTTGAGGTCTGGACTCTAGGTATGCTCTCTCACATCCCATTACGTCTCTCTTGGTTTAGATAATTTTGCTTCTCCCTCAGCTACAAGGGGGACAGGACTGGAGTTTCTCAAATGAACTGCTACAAAGAAACTGAGAAATGATAAAGATAGAAGAAAACACATAAATTTGAATGTCATTAGCATTTGGTGACACATGTAAACATGTTTGATACTATATACTACATATATGTGTGTGCACATACGTAGTTAATGCTGTATGAACAATTATGCTAAAAATTCACACATGTTATCTTCACTCAACAAATAATGAGTTTATTGTTCGAAGCACTGAGGAAGCAGCATTGTTTTGGATGGGAGAAGCAGGACATTCTAAAGTAAAATAAAAATTTTGAATGAAAATACAATAAACAGCAAGTGGGTGTTATCTCACATGACATGTTCAGTCAAGGTCTCCAGGGGGTGTGTTGTTAAGGCTGAGTTTGAAGTAAGGCTAGGATGCAAAATACATGCAGATGGGAGATAAACAACACAGGCCAGGCTTGTATGTATGCGGTCATGCCAACAGCCCCCTTTCACAGATGGGAAAATCAAGCTCACAGGAAAGCAAAGTGACTTCTCTGAGACTCTACAGCTAGGACAGGGCACCACTAACCATGCATTGATGTCCTCCTCTGTTGACTTTTCAAACTCCTCTTGCTTCTTCACCCTTGCCTTTGGTCAGTTCTTTTCTACTCTCCTCTTCAACTAATTTGATTTCATATCCTTACAGGAAGAAAAGTCAGTAACAGCACTTGGTACCAACCTCTTTCAGAGTGGTTTCCACTCCGCTGGTGCATCTGCTTTCTTTTGCCACCTCCAAGCCCTACAGGGAAGGGAAGTGAGTACTAGCATTTCCCTTGACAAACTTAGGGACAGCATATGCTTGATATAACAAGCAATTAATTAATTAAGCATATGACAAATGTTTGAGGGCAGGATGGAGAAAAGAAGGAAACAAAGAAGGAAGTGGGTTGGGGAGAGAGTCCAAACTCAGGATACAGTTCTACTTAGAAATTTGAGACTAAGAGACTGCACAGAGAACTAAAGGTAGCATCACACAATTTCTAGACTTGCTGCTGGCATTGTGATACCTTTGCTACACTCCTCTCCCTCTCTTTGAAAGCCATAGGCATTACTAGCAGTCTTAAATTAACTTGTCTTAAATGCAAGGAATTCCAATCTGGATCTATCAGTAGAGGGGGTAGTAGGTAAAGGAAAGGGACACGTTGGACCTTCTGGGTCCCCTTGAAATCATACTACATGAGCTGGGATTAATGCAAATTATTATGCCTACTTCCCAGAATGCAGAGAGTTCCACTGTAGGAAAGTGTTGTCTCCTAAATTTCAGGAGCAGTATGGTGACTGTGTAAACCAAGGAGCTCTAGAGTTTGAGTTCTTGGATTTCCATTTCTCTTTATCCATTTAGTAGTCGGGGAACTTCCTGTTTCAATTTCCATATCTTTTCACTGGCCATGTGGAAGGCACCCACCTCATATAGGCTGCTGTGGGGAGTAAATAAGTGAAGATCCTAAAGCACTCACACTGGGGTCTGGCAAGGATCCAGTGCATGATCGCTGCAAATTTGGTACTTCCTGAGCAAATAAAATCATGAAAAAGTACATTGGGGTAAACATGTAATTTGGAGGGAAAGGAGATTCATTATGTTTATTAACACCATTCATCATAATCTCTGGAGATAAAGAGGCTACAGTAATTTCTGGAAGCTCTGTAGATGAACATGTTCATGTTCTCTCCTTCTTCAGTTGCCTTCTTCGGCTTTCAGAGGGGAAGAGGTCTGACACTCCGACAGTGTCTTCTTTATAATATGGCAAATTATTTGTCAGAGTCTAAGTTTTCCCTATTGCTTCCATCCATCATGAATGATGACCTTTAATGTTTACTGTTCAGAAAAGTATGACCTTCCTCATAACCCTTGATCTCTGACACACCTTGGGGTAAAGGGTCAAAAGGTTGGATTAAAAAAAAAAGGCATTTGATTCCATTTTTCCTTCTTCAAAGTAATGGTCAGAGGTGGAACCAAACAATGGATGTTCTTGGACTTTTTATTGACTCAAATCCTGAGGTTATTCACGTGATCCTATAGGATTTCAAGTTTTCCTGAGAACTGTAACTGTTTTAAGTTTTGAACACAAGTCCTCAAGGAACAGTTCAGAAAGACCCAGTTAATTGCAAAACAAATAAAAAGAGAACTCCCTTTAGTGCCTGAGGGAATGACCTGAGCAGTTTCTGCGTGTGGTGCAAATGTTTAAAAAATGCAATAATCTCTCACCTTTTCTTACTAACCTACAACTAAGGACCCAGGAGGGCAGCAGCGGGTTAGAAACGGGTTTCTATGCCAAGTCCTGGAGAGTCTCCACGGAGACAATTGACCAGGCTGTTCCCTGCTTTTCTAGCATGCTCTTGCGCTACTTGCATATTTCTGCCAGGTGCAACTACTACCGTGAAATTTGACATTGCGCCCTGATGAAATGTAATCCCCTGCAGTACTGCTCCGCTCTATTCTATTAGGTAAGAAAGAGCAAGAGGGTCTCCTTGGGATTCCTGGAGAGCGCGTCCGGGACTAACTTAACTATCTTAACTACCCAGGACCAGGTCTTATCTCCAAACCCTTCTTAAACAATTTAATTCTCTCTGGGATGAAATTACACCCATCCTCATTCCGGAAACATTCTCCATTTCTAGGGAAAAAAAAAAAAAAAGCCATGCATCCTCTTCTTCCTCGCCTTCGCGTGTCTCAGGCCTGGCGACAATTTCAAAGAGACTTTCAGCTGTGAATTTTACACCAGGTCTCTACGCCGCCACGTCCCGGCTTATTTCGGCGCTCCGGGCAGGCGCATCTCTTCGCTGCACCTCGGCTTCCCAAACCAACTCTGCCTAACTTTCGCTCCCAGACTCCAGCAGGGGCTCCCTCCGGGCATCCGGCTGCGGCAGGCAGGAGCAACCCTAGTCCCGAAACCCCAGAGCAGAATGCCCAGCGCCGGGCGAAGCTGGCTCTCCAGTCCAGCCCCGGCGAGCCGCCTCTCTGTCCGCCTGCGTCGGGGGTTTCTCGGAGCTCAGCCTGGCGCTCAGCCCGCCCCGGCTTCTCGCCTCCGGGCCCATCTTTCCGGACACCAAGCCGCTCAACCCCCCACCCTTTCCACCTCCGGGGCAGCTCAGCAAAACCCGTTCCCCTCCCGCTACGACCACCCTCCGGCCCCTACACCCCCCACCCCCCAGCACAACCCCCAAAGAGAAAGCCCAGCCGGGCTGTCCCCAGTTACACCGGCCACCGCCGAGGGCCTCCATCCCTCCAGGCGCCCTAATTCACGCTCATTCATATTCATTCTCTTTCGCTCTCTCCTCTTCCCCTCTCCAAAGACTCCTAACGAGACAGGCTGAGCCTCCTCAGTGGCACTCCCTTTCATTCATCTCCCTCTCAAAACACGCGCACACACACAAACGCGCGCGCGCGCACACACACACACACGCACACACACACACACACACCCCACTCCACTTTTCAGACGCCCACCTCCTACATACTCCCCTCCCCTAAACTGACTTCCACCCACTCACCATCTGTAGCCTCCCTTCCGCCCCCCGCCCCTCCTGCCGGGCCCCCCCTCCCCGAGAAGCAGACCCGCACACTGGGAGGCAGGGACCCCCGCCAGACGCTCGGGTCGTGCTCGCGGTACTGACCTCGGCCCGCCCGGGAAACTAACAAAGGCTGTGCTCCAGCCCAGACCCCGAGAACTGCAGGCGGCGGCCGCAGGGCACACGAGCCTGCGCCGCGCCGGGCGAGCGCCGAGCGGGGACTGCTGGGGAGTCGGAGGCAGCGCACGGGCGGACACACATCTCTCCCGGCCAGCACGGCTCGGACGCCGCCGGCATCATGGGCTGCTGCACCGGGCGCTGCTCGCTCATCTGCCTCTGCGCGCTGCAGCTGGTGAGTGCCCCGCGCGCCCCGGTCCCGGGACCGGCCCCCTGCCCCGGGACCGGCCTCTCGGGCTCGCTCCGGGGACCGCAGCTCAGGGCGCGGAGTGGGTGGGCGAACCCGGCGCTCCCGCCGGCCGCCCACACTCCCCGCCGCCCCTGCTCTGGCTGCCCTGGCGACGCCGGCGCTCACCCCGGCGCCCCTGCGCTGCGGGAGGCGCAGTCTCCTCTCGGCTCCGCGCGCTGGGGTTCGCCGCGCCCCCGCGGGGAGAAATCGGGGGGTCAGTGTCGGTCGCCCAGGCGCCCGGGGAGTGAGCGATTTCCCCGCCCCTGGGTTGGACAGCTGGCTTTAGCACCTTCCGCGTTTGTGCTGAAGTTTCACTGGGACTTTGGGCTCTTTCTTCTTGGGATGATTTCGAGTAACGTTGTTTAATTGGAAGGGGCTTGGGAATGCCTGCGTTTTAAGGAGAGCGAGGAGCGTGTACTCTGCGTTGCGAGTGAGCTGGCGCTTACCTTCAGCAGGTTTAAAGTGGTGGTTGAGGGGTCTGGCATCTTCAGGAAGGAGGGCTGACGGTGCTTTGAAGGAGTATTTTAGCCCTACCCCTTCCAGTGTTGCTTTAGACTGTCGCTGTGTTGCTTGTGGAGGCAGCGACAGACTGACAGCTGTCGTCAGGGAGACAGCCGAGTGCAGGGCTCTGGGTAAGGTGTCTTGCCCAGGGAGTGCAGGTAATGGTACTTTCCAGATGAGTGTGGCAACTAAAAGACCTTTCAGAGTGGAAGGAAGGCTCTTCCTAACATATGTCCTATGGGGACCTGGTCTGGCCCTGTGGTCTATTCTGTAGTCGCTTGAGGTCAAGGCCGCAGACCCTTTGTGTCAGACTTTTGTGTGTGAAAGATTAATAGACAGCTCCCTTTCATTACACTTAAGCCACATTCTGTAGAAGCGCTGCCAGGCTTTCTTCGAAATATTGCTTGTTTTCTGAAGTCACATACATTAACCAGCATATTTTGATATGCAGAGGGAAAAAGCTTTTCAGTGAACTTTACTGAGTAACGTCGACTTTGCAAGCATTAACCGAGAAATAAAATAATGCTTTTTTTTCTTTAATAGTTAGTCTTTGTCCCTTTGAATGTTTTAAAACTCTTCACTTTTCTCTGGCCTCAGTGTTCCACCCTCCCATAAAGCCCTCTCTTTAAATGTGCTCTTCATTGTTTACCTAAACTATGCATAATTTATGTATTTATTGATTGGAAATCATTGGCTACTTTGTTTGAATCTATGGGGCAATCCTTGCATCCTGTTAAATAGGACATATTTTATAGCGTTTTCTTGAAAATATTATAAAAAATTTACTTGAGCATGAATGTTTTCTTTCATTCATGATCAGGAAAGAAGGCAAAAGGATAATTCACACTGAATTATCACACTTTGATAATTCACACTTTTTGGTTAATAGAAATGGACTTGAATTGTAAGTTGAAAAAACTGAATAGTTTTTTAAAAGCCCCTTGAATATGCAAGAATGTAGATAGGCTGACAGGATTGTGTAATCTTTAATGGCATATTTCTTTCTGTTTTACAAGGAAACATCAGGAAAGGGTTTTTGGTGCAGGGAATTTATCAAAACAAGTGTGATTTCCTTAGTTGGTATGGTGGTATTTGAGATATTGATGTTTTTGGTGTTTTACCTCTTAGCCTGGAATGCCTGTTTCCCACATACACCTTCTCAATTGATACAAATGCAACTTGCTTTTCAAAGCTTTTCTCAAAATTCAACCTCTCCTATGAAATTTTCCCTGGTTCTCCGGATAAAATATGTCTTATTTTCCTTTAATCTCATAGCAATTTGCCTTTTCCTCTGTGAGAACACCATTCAGTCTTTTAAATTATTTTGTTATCTACATGTCTCTCATCACTAGACTGTAAGCAACCTGAGGGTAAGGGTCAAGCGTTATTCTATGTTTACAAAACATGAAAATCCCTAGGAGAGCATGTATTAGGAACTGAATCATATTTATTGAATGTACTATGGTAAATTCATTCCATGCAGGGTTCTTGCATAAATGTTATTTTAATTCACTCATAAATATTACCCTCTGAGGAAGGCATCCGTTTCATTAGTTTGCAGATGAAGAAGGTGATACATATAGAGTTCAACAACTTTTCCAAATCAATAGTTTTTGGATGGTGAAGACAATGGGGTGAATGAATGATTAATAAATGTATCTCAAGCAAAATGTGCATGTGTATCTTATGTTACATTATGTCATACGTTATGAATATTATGTATAAAAGGGATATAGCACTTACTTGACTAATAATGAAATATGTAGTGCTCTTTATTGTGAATTCTATATGTCCAGTTAATTCTGGCAGAATCCTTTTGTTAAATTTGATAAATTCTTGGCTCTGTACGTCTGACTTGAATGCTGACTAATATTTCTTTTCACTTTGAGGACTATAGCAAAGCAAAATAAGGAAAATAGTTTTGCAACTTCACTCCATTGGATATCCATGTGGATAGATTTTTTGCTGAACTGGCTAATAGTTCTTAAATACTGGAAAATTATTTCTTCAGTTTGTGTGTGTGTGTGTGTGCTATTGACAGTGTTATGGCTATAGAAGTGACATACTCTTAGGTTTCAGTGGGCTATGGTAGAATAGTATGGTTGCCTTGGTGGTGGGTGTACTATGGTAACATACATCTGAAGAGGTGTGAACCTATACCCCTAAATCATATACAGTGTTTTTATTTATTTTTTTAGATTTATTTATTTATTTATTTATTTATTTATTTATTTATTTATTTATTTATACAAGCACTGGGTACAGTCACAAGTGCGGGAGGGTGAGAGAATTCACCAGAGCCAGAGCGGGGAGCAGAGCAGGCAGACTGACGAAGAAGTACACTGCTGAGGGGAACAGCGGGCGGCAGGAGAGGTCTGCAGGCCATGTGGGACCCTCGCCGGTGGCCAGGGATCGAACCAGCACTGCAGCCCAGCACTCAACCGCTGCGCCACCAGGGGAGGCCCCATATATAGTGTTTTAAATCATTGTTACCTCACTAAAAACAATACAATTAAAAATATCACTTTATTAAGTCTAGACAAATGCCCACACTTTGACCAATTTTAATTTCACCATAACTTGGTATTTCTATCATACAGATGAAAGACATAAACTTAGTAGCAAAAAGTAAATCATTAAAATTATTAGTAAGGGATGTTTTAAATATCTTGTACTTTTTTTATATGACTTATTTAAATTTAAGTTTATTTTACTTAACTTTTAATGATGGCTGTATTTATCAAGTGGCTCACAAAGTCCTAAAATTTTAACTGAGTCACTGAGCTGCTATATGCCTGGGTTGGGATCCCAGATCTAGTGTTCTTTCCACTAAAACCAGCTGTCTTTTTGCCCCCTTTCATGGTGTTTTTCTCTTCTCCACAACTGTTGGAAGTTGAGGGTTACAAAGAGTAAATAGCTGTGGGCATCAAAATGGGAATGGCATTCACAGAACACAATTTCTAAGAGAATCTATGTGCTATTTTTTAGGAGTGACTATACCAGTCACTAAAGGATGGCCCATTAGTTCGATCTAAAAGTGAAAGAAACAAATGAGAGGTTTTTATTGTCTAATTCATATTTCATTCAAACCACTCTCCCAAGTAGAACATCAGATTGAAAAACACAATTGGAGAAGTACTTCTCATCTTTTGGTTATTATTTTTGCATGAATTTTGGTTTGCAAAACCTCAGTCTTCTTCCAATGCCTTCATTCCGCTGCTCTGGTTATCTCCTAGATGACCTTTATTTCACACTTTTCTCTCCCAAGCAACTTTGCATTTGCCCCAGATTTTACATTCGGGTTGCTAATTCTGCAAGATGATTTTAAAGAGAAAATGAAAAGCTTGAGTAGTTGCCCATAGAATACTGCATACAGTAAAACTTTTTTGAAAAAATCCAGTTAATCACAGTGTATCAGATTTATCAAGTCATCCAGCAACTTTTAAATACATATTTTGTATGGATACATTTCATTTTGTTTGTTTTAGAATAATGTGTATTTAGAATAATGTGTATTTGACTATCAGATATGTGTTATCTAGAAATTAAAAGAAGCACCTGATCACATACTATTACTAAGCTATTTATACTCATCACATTCAAATGTGTCTTAATTGCATGAGTTTAAAATTTAAAAAAAATATTCCATATATCTTTTCAGAGCTATCTTACTGCCCTTAGTGAATAGTTGAATTCAGAGTGGCAGGGATTGTTCTTACATAATTGAAGACATTGTCTTGCTATCACACAGATCAGACTCTAAGATCTGTTTAACAAAATCTTGTCCCTGGATGTGGTTATTACCACACAGATGCAATTGACTAAGTTAAGGTAAGGTCATATGGGAGTAGGGGGGTTCCCTATTCTCATGTGACTTATGTTTTTATATAAGGGGGTAATTTGAACTCATACATGACATGGGGAGTGCCATGTGGAGATAAGACAGACATTGAGATGCTTCTCCAAGTCAAGGAAAGTCAAAGACTTCCAGAAAACCATCAGAATCTGAGAAACGGAGAGCCCTCTCAAGAAATCAATGCTGCCAGTGCCTTGATATTAGACTTCTAGTTTTCAGAACTGTGTGAGAATTAATTTTGTGGTATAAATCACTCAGTTAGAGGTGATTTGTTAGAGTAGTCCAAGTAAACTAATACAGGTCTTTAGTTTTTTCATTTCATAGGAAAATAATAACTTCTTTGTGTTCATTTCTTTGTGTCCTTGCCATTTTTTAAAACTGGATTTTAAGTTGAGAAAAGGCAAAGAATTTGATTGACTGACAGACTCTCCCAACAAGCACTGCCTAGGGTAAGCTCTCAGTGAATATTTGGAGAACAAGTTAATGTATAAACAGCAGCAAAACTTTATTGAGTTTTTTTTTTAATGTTCCAGGTATTGTTCTATGTAATTTATATCTGTGAAATCATGAATTTCACAATCACTCATTT